GTAAATTATTATAACGATTAGATTTCATTACTAGTTAAATTTAAGCAATTGAGTATTAAATAGTTAAATGTACTGGGAATTTTTCATTGTTTACAATATTTTTCGAGACTAGGAGTTGTTTTATCTATCGTTTAAAAAATGTCCGCATGATAACAGATTTGTAATGATTTTTCGCTCGAAACATCAGGCGCAATCAAATTACAGAAGCTCGCACTACGTAAAGTACATTGTTATTTCAGATGCCAAAGGAAATTTATCGAAAAAGCAAAAGTTTGATTATTTTTATTACAAAAGTCCAAAATGCTCGAGCGCATATATAACGAAAAGTGAGACTCGGTAATTTCAGGTAAAATACAGTCATAAAATATCGAATAACAAATAGGCAGCAGAGCTAAAACTTGCTTTTCGATTTACTTTTCGGTATGCGCGCAAAAGATGACAATTCGAGCTTTTCCGTGATAGAGACTTTGCAGCAAATACGGTGCAACGAAATGACGAAAAAGTAGTTCTTTATGATAAAGTCAGAGGACGAAAAGTCGATAAGCACGACGAAAGGGTCAGCGTCGAAAAAAGTGCAACTGCCATTTACAGCGGATGCAGATATCTCTTTTGAGAAATACGCCAGTCCACGGTCGATATGCCGTTTTCATAAGGCTCGGCACGTCAAGTCGCGAGAATTGCAAAAGACGTTCGTCGCTTTGTCAAAAGCACGTAACGGCCCTGTCTCTGGCAATTTAAGAAAACGTCACGAGGATGGAGGCTCTTTGATTATCGTCGGATTGTAATTCAAGGCGCTCGCGGGAAATGAGCGCGCGGATGCCCGGACAATTACGGACCAAGTCGCCGCGCGCTTTTTCCCTCTGTTCGTCTGCTTGTCATCGCGAAATTCAATTTCCAAAATGTCAAATTGACGAGCGAAATGGTAACCCGCCGCAGTTTTAGAAGATAAGTTCATTACTAACGTTTGCAGTGCGAAAGCAATTTACACGGCAAAAGCACGCCAATATAACGCTGTGAAAATAGGTTACGAAAGTCTTTTTCATTTTCCAATAAGCTGCAGAAAGACAGCTGACTGCAAGAATTTCAAAACAGCATTTCCGTTTTCTTTTTCACCTCTCAAGTGAAACCAGCTGAACTGAAAAGCGAGAATAATTTAAAAAATGCAAAGCAGATGACAAGCGAAAGGCGTTTTTACTTCCAAGAAATTATAACGTCGCGTGTATCCGCGATCGTTCGGACGATTTATGTATGCGATCACAGAAGTGTACTTGCGTTGCCTCTATATGCCGCGATACCTTATTGTGCATCAATTAATTAAGATTAGCTCGTAGTCGGCTTTCGTAATGGCTCTAATACCTTTCGCTCAATACTCTTATGTCCCGCGCATGCACGTAATTATTCGTGCTTCGAAAGCCTCAGATAGATTTTGTACACCATTGAACAAAGTTAAAATTAATTCTGTATCCTGCCTCAAAATCGATGCGCTTTTCCGTGTAATACTTATTGATTAATTAATGTTCCAATGGCTTTTATGTTGGCTTACTTTGTGATTCATCATAACGGTCTTCCATTGACATCGATAGCACACTAAAATTTAAGGTATGTAGAAACCAGAAATGCTGACGAGCATTAGTAAAGTTTTCGGAAACTTCTTTTCAAGATTTTTACATTATTGCGCATCAAGTGAAAATCGCTTAAATTATAGCTTCAATCTGTTACTTTCCATAACTAAAATTAAATTAATTAAATTAATTAAATTAAATTAATTACAAAAATCAAACATTGGAGAGAAGTTTGTGGTGATTCAACTACTTCGAAACGTTGAAAAAAAATTGCTAACATAGTATATCATTAAATTTAATACAGATTGAATGTACATTGGTGAGAAAAATCTTAATACCTATAAATTTTAAGCGTTTAAATATGAATAGCAGTATTCACATTTTTTATTACTTTATTTGATTCCTCATGATTTTCAGAATAAAATATGATTTCTACAACAAATTTTTTTTTTAATTGAGTCTAGAATCGAAAGAAATTTACCGCGAAAACTATTTTAAGCCCATTTTACGCGTGTTGAAAATGTAAACTTTGAAGTTAAACTTTCGATTTAAAGTGTTGTTACCGATGCTAAATCCTTTTCCCGTGTGTGGATAATGAAAAAAAATCCGATTTATAAAGTTCGAAGGCAATCTAATGAAAAGTATTTTTTGAGAGAAGTCGATCTTAAAACAAAGAGAGAAACAAGTCCGAGAAATGTTTATCCGAGAAAACAAAATTTGGATATAAACGACAATTGTCATTAGGGAACCATCTTCCTTTTCTGTATAACCGTATAACCAAATTGAGGGTTCATCCAGATATCGACTGATCCTTGTGTAAGTTCTAGTGCTGCCATAGATTCGTCTAAGCTGGTCTTGTAATCCGGCTTCTCTAGCGTTCTGTGTATTAAGCGGTCGTCTGCGTCCTGCACTGTCCTCGCAGGACAATTAAGCCTTTACCAACGCATCGCTTCTCTTTTTACGTGCGTCATTGTATGTAAGATACAATTTGTACGTACTCGTAACTCCGTAGCTCGTCGAGAGTTCTCTACGTACAATATTGTATATGTACTACGTAGATCTGAAATGATCGTATAGAACAGTTGTAAAATTAACTGAATAGGAAATTCGTTTTTTTTATTTTGCTTACTTAACAAGAGAATTAGATTTGGTGTTTTTTTACTATTTTAAATTATCCGTTATTAAGTTTAGAAAATTGTATGGACGATTAAGTACCCTGTGATGTGATTGTTGAAAAGCATAATCAAATTGTCTTTTATAAAGCTTACAAGTTAAATAACTATTGAAAATAGCTCTTAATCTGCAAAGGGAAAAGACGAACAAAGCAAAATGCCAACGGGGAACATACGAATATGACGAAACAATTGCAAGATATGCCAATAATAAATGAGACCTATCGATGTTACATTCTTACGAAATATTTCATTGTTTTAGAAAAATGGAACGTTCATTGATTAAAATATTGCTAAAAAATAAAAGGGATTCATAAACTTTTGTCATTTATAAAATTTATTATGAAAGAATTTTTCATAACAGACAGTTCTTCAATAAATGCTTCAAAACTATAAACGTTTTATTCTACTTGAATATTACGGTATTTTCGTTGTCACATATTTTACCGAAAAGTACCGTACACTGGAAAACATTTTGATTAAACTTACTGCCCACATCAAATTAGCAAGATAGCAATACACCAATTTTTTTTACCTTTGAGCAGAGCTTTAAAATGTACTTTATTAATTCCAGATATTATCGCAATTAGCATACGTATCTCATCTCGCATTTCTCTCTTTCTCAATAAATATATCAAAATTACTTGTTATTTGTAACTCAAGACTCATCTTTGATACAGTATGTAAGCAAGGCGGATTTAAAGAGAAAGAAAACAATTTTCCTAGAATGAGTATTATATTTGAAGATAGTTCGAGACTTTCTAAATGCTGTATTTTTAAGAAAGTAGACAATTTCAGTTTAAAGTTTCTGAAAGTTTTTAATTACGAAGAAAAGAACTAAAAAAAGTGGAATGTTCGTTTAAAATCTGTGTAAATGTAACATAATAGAAATTCCTTTGAATAATATATTCACGTGGAATCAAAAAATGAAAACGAGCTGAAATTTCGACATGAAAAAGCTTTCCCTAAAAAACTTGATTTTCCATAGTTGAATGATAGCACAAAAAGGGTGAACGCATAAAATACGTGAAAACTTCATTATTTAACAATATACTGTCCTGGGTTAAGTGATAAAAAAGTGTAAACTAAAATGCTAAACTACCGTAAAAATGTGAGCCGCGTGGCAACAACAAAAGAACGGTAGATGAGAAGTACGTTGTAAATCGAGGTTGCTAACAAGCTATAAAAAATCACTATAACGGGTAGGTTATGGCGAGGACCCATCGTTCGACGATCTCTTGAATATTCCCGAACGACTACACGAGACAGAGAGAGGACGAGAGAAAAAAAGAGAGAGAGGGAGGGGGCCTTGTGGGATGATGTGTAGTGAATTTCAGAATGGAGCGCGGTTGGAGAAAAAGTAGTTGAGCCGAGAGAGCCAAAGGCTTGATACGCGACGATTTCGTTCAAGTGGAAGTGGGATGATAAATGGCAAGAGAATATCGTCGAGTGCTCGCAAGGTGAGAGGACGAATAAAAAGAGTCAGACGCCGGGGTTTCTTGCCCAAGAAAATAAATGCAAAAATCTATAAGACACTGGTTTGAATTACGAAAGGTCGCGATATAGCCTGTGTAAACGCGCACAAATCAATTCATCGAAGGCTCACTGCGGAACGTTAGTTCATCCAAAATTACACGAATACTTATAACTTTATAATTCTTCAATGTATTCCTGGTTTCTGGTAAGAGAAAAGCCAAGTTTTCATCAATTATTTTGAATGAAAAAGTTGAAGTTGACGATATTTAATTGGAATAGCTTGAGGGTAGGTTGAGTGTATATAGCGCGCTGTAACTTATAACTAATGTGAAACTTATGACAAGCTCAACTGTGGGAAACCATACTCGAAACCACTCTAACACACGAGAACGCTCTATAAACTTAATTACAATATAACTGAAATAACTTCGTTTGACCGAGCCAGGCTTGATGTTGCAAGAAAGTAAAGCATCAGTCGAATCGATAATTATACGAGTGAAAGATGATTTAATTTGATTGATTTGAACTCTTATCGAAAAGTGTATCCCACTTTCAACTGGATGAGAGCTTGAAAAAACGTAATTTCGGCGGCCCACGGGACGACGGCGCCTGCAGCTATAAAAATACAAACGCGCGAGCGAGCCAGCAGCCGATAAATTATGAATAAGACGCCGCTCGCAGCGTCGAGGAAGCGAGCGCGCGTTGGTTCGCGAGCTTGCGCGCAAGCTACGGAAAAGTGATGCTGCACGCGACTACTGCGACTGTGGCCCCAGTCGACGTGCCGGCAGCTTAGCGGACGCACGTTCGTGCGCCGAGGGACGCGTGGCCGATAAGGCGCCTCTCTCGTATTCTCGCACTTACACGTTCACGTGTCAAAGCATCCTCGTCGCGTCTTTCGCGAGTGTGTGTTGCATCTGGGTGCCGAGTGCCAGATTTTAACGCTATCCACCGTCAAACGTGTGCCTCGTCTGTGTGATTTTGCCCTTGTCTTTGTTTTTATTTTTATTTTTGTTTCGTTTGCTTTTGTTCTGATTCTTGCTTTGCTTTTTAAACGGTGCTGGTGGCGACTTGTAGTGCGTGGTGGTGTCAGCCGGCGATGACGATAGCGATTTGATTACTGTGCTTGCTCTCGTGCTGTTTACATTTTAAGGTTATTATGAGTTTCCATGTTATAATAACAATAATATTTTGACAAGCATATATTTATTTGGACAAATTTTAGTGTGCTAATAGTGTACGAAACGATGCTGAAGCGCGTTGGAAATATTACGAAATTAAGCAAATTGAAGTATATTGCGATTGCCTTTGAATCTTAAGCGATCAATCCTATAATGGCGAGTACAAAGCAGCAATCGATATACACATATCGCAATTTCGTACGAGGCGCGCTATAGCTTGCCAAGTTGCAATCAATTTGATCGTACGTCGATGTCAAACTTAATATTGCACTTGATATTGCAGCGCAATATATGCTCGTGTTCGGGCGGCCGATCAAATTGTCATTTCAAAAATTGCAGTTATTTAAACGTTGTTAACTAAATGCTCCAGACCGACGATGCCACTATACTGGGATTGTTTCTTTTGTCGGGTAGCCGAAAAAAGGTTGGAATAATAGTGAGCCAAAAAAAAAGTTGACCGTTATTTGGCGTCGTACCAAAATGCACGAATGAAAGTATGAACAAAAAGGAAAAAAAAAAAAATTCGCAGGCACACGGAAGTGAAAACTCACGCGCGAACCGCAAATTGACCATAAAAACGGATTGGTATCATACGAAGCGACGTTGTAAACAACACTGTTTTTACGCATCGCATTGTCACTTCCTTTCTTCCGAGGCGCTCGCGGCAATTTCACAATTGCAATCCCGCACCATCCACTTTATCGCGGCAACAGTGGCAGAAGCACGCGCGGACTCGTACATTTACCATCGTGCGGAATGTATGTATCGCGAAAAATTGATTTCCTATGACACTGTCGAATTCATCACGCCACCCTTTTAACTCGTCATGCTATACTTTTTCTCTCTCTCTCTCTCTCTCTCTCTCTGTATTTCAATTAGCGAATTGTACAAGCTCATGACTTACATCTTCGGATATGCGCAAAGCGACGAATAACATTAATTACCATTGTAATTCCATGATCGAAGTAGTTTGTTATTAATTTCTTTTTTATATTTGAACTTTGTTATAAGCAAAATACAAAGCTTGATCTTCAAATTGAACATTAGCATCATAAATACTCTTACATCGTTCCAGAAGGCTTCCATGGTCAATTTGTCGTAGGAAATTTTATTTCAAATGCATTTTAGACAATGATTCAACGAAAGGGAATTGGATGCACTCACATATGCTTGAATATTAAATTAATGTTGCACATCCGTGCAACAGTCAAATAACGGTCTGTTAACTAGGACACATTTTGGTAACGTGCACGGAATCAGCGAAGCCAATGTGCGATAACAGCTCGTAATATAACTTGTACTTCAATTAATTGAATAGTGTGATCACACGGTGAAAATAGTCTAAAAATGTTATCTAAAAATGCAGGTGAAACGATAGCGAATGATCGTCGATATGACAAATCGGCAAAAAACGAACGACGCAGGTTATTCAGAAAAGGGTGCAAGCGTCGATACCGCGGATACGAATGCGAGTCATCCTTGCGCCTATACTCTCACTCGAGCGTGTAAGCTTCTCGATGTAATATGCATCGCGCGCCTCCGCCGAGGTGCTGTCTATGCACACAGTACGCGCGCACGCGTGCAGCGGTCGCACGGCCAGCGGAGAAAGTATCTCTCGCGGGCTATGCGACCCTGCGATAGCCTATTGTGGCCGTTATTAACCTTCTGTGCCGCGCGCAACGTAGCGGAAGACTACTTGTGCCTCGCACACGCCTCACGACGATTTACAAGTGAGCTCTCTGGCTGCGTCAACTGGCATAGCGATGTGTAGCCGTCGCAGCTGTGTTTACTGCTTGCTCGCGCTCGGCATCCAAATTATTTGGCGCGGATGGCTGCTGCAAGCCTGTCCGACTAATGCTAGACACTATCTACTTGGGCGTTACGCCGAAGAAAATGCCAGTCTAACCCGTAGTCAACGTCAGCGTGCATTTTCCTCTCTGTGGACGCGTTGATAAAACAGTTGATATTAATTCGAGAAGGTCAAGCACGAAATACAATATTCTTTGAAGAAACTGTTAGTAAATGTAAATGGGACGTGCAACCGTTAGCTTGCCAAGATTATCCTCCGAGAGAAAGAGGGCAAGCGGAAGATATTTATTCAATGAAAAGTATGCCGAGCTACTTGAAGAGGCGTAATAACTTTTTAGATTTATTATGTTAATTAGCAAGAAAGTTGCACGTCCGGGAGCTCTCATTAAATAAGCCCAAGTAAAGACTCCTCATCCGCCAGGATGTGCACACGTAATTGTGCGCAATACATTAGCTTGCTTTAATGTTTTTCCCTCGCGGACCCGGAATTTCCATCCCCATGTTCTCCAGTGATTGGCTAAAATGTCAATTAATCAAGCGAAAGAGTTCATCGATGATGTTTTTTTTTTTCATTTCCGAATTCACGAGCTGCGCCACTGTCGGGGCAAGACTGTGCGCAGTGTGAAAAATTGGGAAATGGACAAAAGCGAAAACAACGAACCGGTGGCAAATGCTGTACAATGGTCAAGTAATTGTAAGCGGTATTAAAATGCTTCCGAATGCTTTAAAATGAAGGGATTTAACCTGTAATTTAGGTCATGCGCGAAAGCGAATTTGCGGGCATTTTTATCGATAGGGGATTTAAACGCGTCGCTTTTGAAAACTCCGTATTAGATGGCAACGAATCCGTGAATCAGAATTCATAACGAAAGTTGGTTATATTTTTATCATTGGTACGCTATGTTATTTCAATATTAATGAAAAAGAGTTTGTACGATAAAATTGCACGATACAGATAAACTTCTATGTGATTTCTCTTTGTGAATCGCTTTGGTGTACTCGTTTGAAATACGGAACCGACAGTGTAATCTACGGGCACGTCCAATTATCTCCGTGAATTTTCGTTCCATTTTCAAGACGAGTTGCCCAACAGCTTTCTTTTCCCACGAAACGAGGGATTAATTTGTCAAAAGGAGTAAGATAGACGAAGTAACTTTTGTATACTTGACACGCAAACGCGTACAAACTACATATTGCAAAAATCGTCCATGACTTTAACGCGAAGAAACGAGTACTGAATTTTTTTGATTACTTGAAAATTTGTTCAAAATGAAATACAAACGACGAAAGAAGGTATGAAAGCAAATTGATTGAGAATATCCTTCGGTTAGAAGTTAAAAGGCTATACAAGAAACTTGGGCGAATGATATAGGAGGTGCAGGCTTGAGTTACGTGCGAAATTCTTTTTAACGAGCTTGAAATTTCATAGCGTGTTTTCCCTGGATTGGCCAGCTGCCTTGTTAAACTGGTTAAAACTTTGTAAATGAGGTGCCTTTATGCTTTATTGCGTAAAGCTTCTATCCTCTAGGAGAACAGTACTTTATAACGCCTTTTACGCTGTAAGGCCGAATTTTACGTACGATAATGGTTGTCATCTCAAAATTTTTTCTGCATTTTTCGATGAATATTAACGGACAAGTACCCAATCGGTATCTTGTTTTTCAGCTATATTTTATATCTTTTTCAATTGGATTCTCAACATCTTCAAATCCACAAAATGTACGTGAAAGAACATTTTCTAAATTAGAAATGAGAAATGTCTCATCTGATAATGGTTCCTTTTGACTTTATGACACAAGAGAAAAGACTTCTTGTCGTTTCAATTTAAATTTCTCGGCAAAATTTTGAAAGGGACTATTCAAACATTATTTCACGCAATAGAAAAGGAAATCAAAATCGCATAGGATCAAAATAAACTTAGCCATATTTTGCCTTCTTTCTTTTTAGACGTGCCTGAGAGGAACTTTTTGTTCGTGAAACGACGGAATAATTAATAATCAAGTCAGAGAATGAAAGGATTAAGAAGAGAATCTCCGAAAACTTTCCGTCATAACAGTGAAACGAGTGTTATAAAAAATAAAAAGAAGAAGAAGAAGAAGAAGAAGAAGACGAAGGAGAAGCTTGTCCTTCAAAGATAGCAAAAAAAGCTAGTAGATGGATATGGATGCTGGTTGGGCGTATAAAGGCAGTGAGAGAGAAAGAGAGAGAAAGAGAAAGCGAAATGGAAAACTTGCAGAAAAATGACTGGAGGGCATTTATTCTCTGTCTTGCTCGCTCTTCGCAGCTTCATTATTGGTTTTTCCGTGGCGCCAAGAAGGGCACAGTGTCAAAAAAAAAGAAGCCCGCCAGAAGAACGATGGCGAGATAGAGAAAGTGCCATCCGTCGGAGAGCTGAAATTCGCTTTGCAACCTCTCCCTGCGGCCCTCACTTACGATATTACTTCGAGCATCTTGTGCGCACCGTTGGATATTAAGACAGCTCGAGTCATGCGTGCAAGCAAGCGAGATCAAACTACACTCGATGCTCCCGGGCGTCCGCACGTGCTTCGAAGTTTCAGCGGCTAGTTTATTTTAATTGCATATATTTGAATTATCCAGCGGTAGTTCGGCGATCGAAGCTTTCAATGATGCAGTGTGGCCATTCGATCGTTCTTGGCTTGAGCGCCCTTACGAGCCCGGTGCGACGGCCTTTATATTATCGAGATTACGGGTGCTTTTAAAAATTTTTTTTAAATAGACAAGCTGAAATTTTAATAAGAACGAAGGGACGCGATGGGACGAGAGAGAAGAAAGACAAGTATGCAGTCCAGCTATTAGGTATTCCACGCTAACCGTGAAAAAATATATGCCAGAGAGCTTATATTGAGAGACGAGAAACAAAAGGCTTTGTGTATAGACAGCCGAGCTTTTGTTACGTTGCTCTTCTACAGTGTATTAAACGGCAAATAAGAAGAAAAGAAGGCCGCGACGAAATGCAACAAATGGCACTCGTTCCGGGATCCGCGGGTCGCAGGCGTAAATAAGTTCCTACATTCCTTTCTTTCATCGAAGAGACAGGAACGCGTCGCGCACTTAACGCATGCGAGGCCGTTAAAGCGAGCGAGAGAAAGAAAACTTTCTTGCCTTTTCTCGGGCAAAACGTCTCGCGTGCAGCAAGCATAGA